GAGAACCATGAGCTGGGTGACTGAGAATCTCTATATTTATCGATGATAAAATGTGAAAATTGTTTATTGGTTTTTATCTCTTTTCCCCCTGAACTTCTCCAGTTACTAAAAACGAAGGCTTATTGTGAATTGGGCAACAGTTGGAGGCTGAGAAATAGTGACCTCCCAGAACGCCCTATCTTTACTCTGAAAGTGCGACGCCACTTTCTCCTTGAAGACACCTGGCACAAACTTAGTATATTGGAGGACTCCTACCTGAAAAAGCACCTTTTGGTGAGCTATCTGTGGTCTGCTGATGCTGAGTTACCTGCGCTTTGAACATGAGAACTCACTGGCATAGCCTTCAAAATTAGGACTGCATTTTAAAAACTCTATTCATTAAAGTGTTTGTTTACTCACTATTTATTTCTATCACAATTATACAGATAGTCTTCGACTTGCAACAACAACTGAGCCCATATTTTTTTATATCCTGTTTTTTATTACTTTATAAAGCATTTTAAAATACAAAATACAAAAGTAAATAGAAGAGCAATGAAGGGGGAGGGGAAAAGGGGAGGAAGAAGTGAGGGAAGATAGGAAGGGAAAAAGAAAAAGAAGCACTGATTTCTGACTCTCTCTATTACAGTAGAATAAGGCATTAAGAACAGATCACACAGCTTTTTGCTCTTCCATATTAGTATGAACAAATCAGTTCTATAAAGATCTAGCAATCTAATCTGTAAAACCCCAAAGTCAAGAGTTTAATTCTCCTCCACATCAGGCACAAAGTTCAGAAGTGGTTTCCGTTTGGAAATAAAAGTACTTATATTCTTTTCTTTAATCAAAGTAGTCAGTTTTGCCATTTCAGCCAACACCATCAACTTCTGCCACCATTCTTCCATGGTAGGAATTGAAGTGTCCTTCCATTTTTGTGCATACAATAGTCTTGCTGCTATCAACATATATCATGACAAAGTTCCAAATTTTTTCTCCAGTTCTTTTTCCATTAGACCCAAAAGGAAAAGTTCTGGTTTCATTTTTATCTCCATTTTCAGAATTTTCTGTATTAAAATATTAATCATACTCCAATTTTATTTTATTTTTTTGCTTTATCATATGTCCACCATCGGTTATAAAAAGTCCCTTCTTTATTTTTAAAATTCCTACATTCATTTGACATGCCTTTATACATCTTAGATAACTTGTCTGGTGTTAAATACCAATGATACATCATCTTATAGAAATTCTCTTTTAGATTATAATTTGATGTAAATTTTAAACCCTTCGTTCACATACTTTCTCATTGTTCAAGCATCACATTATATCCAAAATTCCTTGCCCATTGAACCGTACAGTGTTTTACATATTCATTTTCGAATGAGCCCACAATTTCTGTTGTTAAGTAACTTTTGCCCCATTTTATGACTTTTCTTGCCACAGTTGTAACTGTTAAGTTAGTAACAGTTATTAAGTGAATCTGGCTTCTCCATTGGCTTGTCAGGAGATCGCAAAAAGGGGATCACATGACCCCAGGACATTGCAACCCTCATAAATAAAGGCCAGTTGCCAAACAATTGCATTTGATTGCATTACTATTGCATTTTGATCACGTGACTATGGGGATGCTGCAATGGTCATAAATGTAGAAAATGGTCATTCTGAATGGTCATTAAATGGATGGTTGTAAGTCAAGGACTATCTGTATTTTGCCTTAATTCTAAGAAACTAGACACAATTTACAGCTTGACGGTCACCTCTAATTTTTCTGCATCTAACAGCAGTCGAATAGCTTGGTTGAGTGATAGGTCCAAAACCAGCCAATGAATTCAAAGAACATGAAATCCTTTTGACCTTCTGCAAATCGAGAGCTTTTCTGTTATTCACTAAAGGAATCCAACATTTTCCAGCTTTCCCTGTTTCTTTCTTTGTGTTTCAGTGCTTTGATGCAATTCTTAAAAGTACAACTTCTCAAATTTTGCAGAATCCTGAGTTGCCTGGGCATTCTCCAAGTCTGTTGAGAAACCTTGGGGACCCTTGCAAAGAAGATTTTGAAGCAGGTGGGAGGGGGATTATGGTAGGGAACCATTCAGAGGCCGCTTCAGGTAACAATCTGAGATCTGCTTCCAGTCATAGCTCTAATGGGGCACAAATGAGTATGCTGGATGAAAGCTAACGCAATTGTTAAACTCTGCTTGATGGCTTTTTATGGACATGGATTCCTCAATTCCTCAATTGTTTTCTCTCAGTGAAGTCAACAGATGCTTTGAACTATCCCAAAGGTGTTTTTGCAAAAGTCAATTGGATTTTCTTGACTTTTTTCCCCCAAAAAACCTCTCTAAGAATGTCCAGTTGCCTTTCGGAAAAGCACAACCATGGGACCTTGGGACAACCATGACCTGGATGACTGAGAATCTCCAACAAACATTTTTGAACTACTTTTCCTTTCTTCTTTACTTGTTTTGACAGGTTCAATTTGAAAATGAAATGCCTGATTATGGAGATCTAGGTTACCTGGTGGAATTCTTTTCAGAGGTGTTTGAGAAGGTGGTACAGCCAGAATATGGGATGTTTATATATTGTGAATCCACTTCCCCAATGTGGTTCCCTCCCAAGGTATGTTTATCAGACCCAGTTTCAGTTCAAATGAACTCAATTCATCAAGATGCTACCTTTGGGCTTCATGCAAGAAAAGCAGCAGAAGTCTTTCTTTCTCTCCCCTAAACTCTGCCAGAAATGAGTCTTTGCCAGCGCAGCCTCTTGGAGCAGGATGCCTTGCAGGCTCCCAAAGACTCATTTCTGGCAGAGTTTGGGGAGAGAGAAAGACTTTTGATGCTTTCCTTGCATGCAGTCAAAAACAGAAGAAGTGGGAAGAAGCAGCCCAGTGGCCAAGCCAGGCGCGTGGGGCACATGGGGCAAGTCCCCCCCTCCACCCTTTCCCCCCTCCCCTCACTACCTCATGTTGTTTGCAATGCAAGTGATGCAAGCCTTGTGTTCCTGCGGGCCATGTGGGCTGCACAGCCTTGTTTCTGCACAGCCTGGATTAATTGCTTTGGGGGGTGCTGTGGGGTGTCAATGCTCTGCAGACCACCAAAATTTTCTCGCAGACCACCAGTGGGCCACAGACCACCAGTTGGCAACCACTGCTATAAATGGCCTAATATTACTATTCATTTTACTAGGATATTTATCCCATTGTAGAAACATGTGTCCCTTTAAATATTGCAGAAGTAATCCATATTCCTTCTCATTGACTGTCCTTGTTGGGAGTTGTGGTGATGTTTTCTTGCTGTTTCGTTCTTGCAGCCTTCTGTGGAGAAGAATAAATATTTCCTGTTTGGTATTCTCTATGGGCTTTCAATAGCTAACAGAGTCACTGCCTACATACCCTTCCCACTTGCTGTCTTTAAAAAGCTGCTTAACAAGAAGCCAACTCTCAGTGATGTGAAAGAGCTAAGCCCTGTGCTAGGAAGGTAAATGTTCTATCAACTTACTAGGGACAATGAGTCTTAGCTGATTTTATCCAGTCATTGCACTCCCCCCACAACTGACAAAACCATGTTTCTGTTTCAAAGAATGTACCAAAAGTAATGGAATCTAACATTTGAATGTGGGTTAAGATGACTTAGCCAAGGTGTAGAGATCAGCAAATCATTTGTTGTTTCTCCCCTCATCCCGTCTACAGTAGGCAGCTTCTCTTGATTTGAGTGGTCATGATGTAGTAACCTAGATTAGAACTTGTGGCATCATGTTGCTGTCACATGACGTTTTGTGGTGTTTTTCCCTTCGCGGAGATGGGGTGGGCATGGCCTGCACGTAAAGCATCCAGCCCGCAGGCCCCCAGTTTGACACCCCTGGAGTAGAAGATCCCCAGTTACCTAGCTGTAATGGCTGACAGAGAAAGTGTTCTCTACACATAACAAAAGGCAAGAAGTCCATCTTCTAGTCTAGGTGAAGAGAAAGATTGAGACCTATCTGCTTTTTTCTCTTTATGGGGCCTCCTTAGACTCCCATCTCTCTATATTAGTATGGAAGTAATTCATTAAATGTCCTTCAACAGAACCAGCTTTTTACTCTCTGTAAGCAGAGATAATAAGCCACAGGTTTATGACAAACGTATTTATTCTAAAAATACAGCAGCCACCACACACTTCTTCTGAACTAGGACGGGGGGGGGGGGGGGGAAGCCCCATTTCTTTTGGGGGGGGACCGGGGGGGGGGGGGGGGCCAGGGGGGGGGGGGGGGGGCATGGCCAGGGTGGGCGTGGCCAGCTTGACATCACTTGTGTTAGGGGGTGCCTGTGGTGGCCCGAGCGCGGCCCTCCTGAGCTCCGTTTTCACTGGCAGAGGCACCGTGGGCCGTCCTTTGCTATTTCCAGGGCAGCCCTGCGGGCCAAATCTAAGCACCCCATGGGCCTTGAGTTTGACACCTCTGGTCTCTTTTGCCCAATGTAACTGGTGTCTCAGCCTAGTTTAGTAAATCCCAGTATGACCCAAATCCCAACAGAAGCATGTCCCCTTTAAAATTGGATACACCATTTGGCCTGGGAAGAGAGCTTAGTTTTTAAAACTACCTTACTTTTTAAAATGATCCGGGTGCAAAGGTTTTTCTGGAACAGTCATACATATATCTTCTCAGTTTCTTCTCACCAAATACTTGACTTTCTGGATCAAGCCAACCTTGCTCCATCACTAGATACGATGACTCAAAAGAGACAAGCTTGAGTCTATTCATGGTTGCATGGACCAGTCTGGAGATCTTGTTCATGTCCTCAGGCTTATAAAAACATGAAACCACTCCAGCCATGTATTTTTGATTGGCACTGTTTTAATATCTGCTGAAAGAACTTCATATAATATTTTATTTTCCATTTCCTTTTGTTATCAAGAAATTTGCAGACACTTCTTGAGTATGAACATGATGACCTTGAAGACATGTTTCAGCTATGTTACTCTGTGAGTATCCTGCATTCTTTCACGATGCCTCCTCAAATGGTTAAAAACCTGGAATAGAAGCTAAAAATGGAAGAAATCCAGAGCTTGTAAAATCAATTAAAAGGTGGAAACGTTTATCTTGTTGTGGCTGAACAAATAAGCTGGAATAAATAGGAGGAGGATGCTAGAGACATCATTCTGAATCTTGTCTTGAGAAGAAGAGGGTCTTCTGGGGTGTGGTCAGAAATGTCAAGATGGCATCAATGATAGTTTAGTGATGTGGTGGCCTAGAGGTGGAGTTCTTGCCTCACGATCAGGAGGCTGTGAGTTCGATCCTAGGTAGAGGCAGATATTTCTCTCTCTCTGGGCACACTGAGAATGTATCTGCTGAACAAAACTCAGCATTGGCGACAGGAAGGGCATCCGGCAGTAAACACTTGGCTCCATTCAGTTGCCCAGACTCCATCCCACAAGAGATTATGAGGTCATTAAAAGAAGATGGTGATCAATGATGGTTTAGTCCAAGCCCAGCTTGGGTTTTTTAAAATGTATTTTAATGGGGGTTTTTTTTCAACTTTTTTTTTAACCACATCCTGCAGACACACTTGGGCCCTCCAGAGAAGAACCACTAAAGGCTGAAATCTCATTCATACATTAAGTCATAAGATGATTTGTTTATGGTTGGTATGCTATGTGAATCCAGCTATTATGGTTCCCAACCTTGGTATACAGTTTGATTGTTGCCTGAGTCTCCTTAGTTATTCAGTAAAACACAGTTATGGGAAACCACAACTTTGGACCACGCGTGAACCAACCAAAGCATTATTCACACCGTTTCATTGGCTGAAAGTACTGATGCCAACTATCCCATAAATAGAAAGTCTTGACACTGTTCAGTGCGGAAATTATGCTAACACATTAATTTTAGCTTTAACGGATTCGCCTAACACGCAGGAACTTCATTTTTCAGATTTCCTGGGACAGCAAGGATGTAGACTTGATTGAAAATGGCACTTTGACAGCTGTAAACAACACCAATAAGTATGTATCAATGACCTCTCCAATGGTGTTTTGTTGCAGTTCAGATTATCCTCACCACAGTGACCAGTGGTGTTAGAAGTAATGGGGGGTGATAGTTCAGGACATTACTAAAGCACCATGTAGGAATTGGATAATTTCTTAAACTTTCAGGTATTGCTATCCCCAAACTTCTTGAATTTCTATGGGATTGTTAAAAATTTCTTCGGATCTAAACTACAGGTAGTCTTTGAGTTATGATTACTCACTCACTTACTCACAACAGTCCAAAATTTCCAATTGCACTGAACAACAGGAACCTCTGACACAAAGTTGTGCTGTTACAGTATCCCTGTGGTCATCTGACCATGATCCAAGCACCTGGTTCATGGTTACATCATAGCCAGCCACTAACAGGTGGTTAGCAATGGCAACCTTCCAGTGGTGGGATTCAAAAAAATTTACTATCAGCTCTGTGGGTGTGGCTTGGTGGGCATGACATGGCTTGGTGGGCGTGGCAGGGGAAAGGTTGCTGCAAAATCCCATTCCCTCCCCACTAACCTGCTTACCAGCTCCGTTCTCCTGTGCAGGGCAACAAAAGAAGACCCAGCCGATCAGCTGGGACTCAGGAGACAGAGAATAGATGGAGTTGGAGCCAGTCAGAGGTGGCATTTGCCAGTTCTCCGAACTACTCAAAATTTCCGCTACCGGTTCTCCAGAACTGGTTAGAACCTGCTGAATACCACCTCTGCAACCTTACCTGCCATCTTCCCACAAACAAAGTCAATAGGATTCTAGTAGAGAATGTTGCAAGTCAATCCCTTATGCTTCTCCAGAGGTGGTATTCATCCTTCCCCGGCCACACCCATCAACCCACGCCCACAGAACCATACTACCATAAAAAAATTGAATCCCACCACTTTTTGCTTCTCCCACTTTTTCTCCCAGCACCTGCTTACATCCCTCACCACCCCAGCGCACTACACACCCAAAACCCTTGCCAGCTTTCACATGCTCTCCAGCACCCACTCATGCACAATGTCAGCTTGCTTGTGGCACCCATCCCCACACTCCTTACCCAGCATCCTTCCTGCTTAAAGCCCCAAGAAGGGCTGGGGTTATGACAACCAATGGAAGTTCAGGATTACCATTGCTAAGCAATGCAGTCATGTGACATCATGCTCTAAAACTGCAGCATTTAGTGACAGCAACCCTAGTCCCTATTGCTGCCATAACTCCAGGACTATAGTAGGGCGAGAATTTGGGAGAAAGATGGGGAGAAAAGAGAGAAACATAGCTAACTAAAATGCAGCTTTTAATTCTTATTTCTTTATAAAAGTTCAGTCTTGTTCTCCTTTAAAGGCTGAATTGTTGAGTAACATATGCATTTTTTTTGTCTTTTGGTACAAAGACTTACCCCTCCAGTCTCAACTAATTCTTGTAACTATTTAATAAAGTGAATATTTATTATATTAACGAATAAATGTAAACAGATAATTTTAGATTTATGAGCAATGTTAACCGAATTTCCCCAAAAGAGGTCTGATTCTGAACCCTGATAAATTTATTTAAAGGCCAAGAATTTGACCTTCTTGAAAAAAAATAGGCTTATTTTCTACTTTTTAAAGGAAAGACTTTGTTGACAAATATGTGGATTACATATTCAACAAATCAGTGGATGATGTTTTCAGTGAGTTCAAGAGAGGATTTTACAAGGTCCTGGATGAACAGCTAGTTGGCATCTTTGAGCCTGAACAACTGATGGAAGTGGCAATTGGAAATGCCAATTATGACTGGGATTTGTGCGAAAAGGTAAGTGGATGGAGAGATGTTTTTTTTATGAGAAGGACCCTTATGAGCAGATCATGATTGGAGGAAAGGAACTATGCCATTAGCTACAGCATCATTTTCAATTGGCATGGGTAGGGTTTGGTAAATTAATTTTTCTCCATCACAACTCTCCTAGCTTATCAAATAAGTGAATGATAGAATTGCTTGGATGACATTTAGGAGTTTGAAGCATGGTTGCAGATAAAGTTACTAAAGCCTCTTTCTTTCTCTTTTTCTTCTCTTTCTCTTTTTTTTCTTCTTTCCTTCCTTCCATACATTCTTCACTTTTCTTTTCTTCTGCTGCCCATCTCACTGTTCAAGTGACTCTTGAGTGTCTTATATAGAATGATTGATACACACACACACACACACATACGTTTTCTTAAGTTTTCGCGGGTACTTACATGTATGGTATTCAGCTTTGTTTGGGTATTTTCCCATGTCATTATAGTTGTGCTTTTAAAGTTGTAGCAATGTTTCGGCAGAATCTCATCTGCCATCTTGAGAAGAACACAATACAGAAGCCTGATGATGGCAGATGAGATTCTGCCGAAAAGTTGCTACAACTTTAAAAGCACAACTATAATGACGTGGGAAAATACCCAAACAAAGCTGAATACCATACATACATACATACATACATACATACATATCTACATACATATACACACACACACACATATATACATACACACACATATGATGGGTAGTTTGTTTATTCTTATTGGTTCTTGATTTTTTCCCCATTGTTTATTATTCTTGCACTGAAGAATGCTGTGTATGGGGGTATATACAGCCCAACGCACCCGACTATAAAGATGTTCTGGGAAGTTTTCCATGAGCTGAGTTTGGAGGATAAAAAACATTTTCTGGGTAAATATCTATATGCAAGTACTTCACTGTTTTTCTAAAGATCTTGAAGGTGAATTTCCTTCTGTGTTGTGAGCTGTTCTGAATGTCAGCAGAAGTCATTAATATCTCTCCAAAAGCTTCTTTTAATGCAGATAGTCAAGGAATTGAAATGATAATTGAGAGGCAACTTTATACAAGTAGTCCTTGACTTACAACAGTTTGTTTAGTCACGGTTCAAAGTTATGACATTGAACAAAGTGACCCATGACCAATTTTCACACTTATGATTGTTGCAGCATCACAGAATTTACATTTGGATGCTTGACAACTGCTTCATATTTATGACAGTTGCAGTTTCCTGGGGTCATGTGATCCCCTTTTACGACCTTCTGACAAACACAGTCGGCGTGGGAAACCAGATTCCCTTAACAACGGTGTCACTAATTTAAAAACTGCAGAGATTCACTTATCAAATGTGGCAAGGAAAGTTGTAAAATGGGGCAAAACTCACTTAACAAATTCCTTAACAACATCAATTTTGGGGCTCAATTGTGGTTGTAAGTTGAAGACTACCTATAGGGCTGGATCACTACAATTGATCCAAATAGGGCAACAGATGTTTTACTAAATCCTTTCAGAGGCAATATTACCCTGGGAATCCCGTGTTCTTAGATTGGTCTATGTTCCCCCTAATATTCTGTGTTTCACTGATAATTTCCCATATTTCTAGTGTTTGTGGCAGGAAATGACAGGATCCCTGTGACAGGAATGGAACCTTGGAAGATTCATCCACATTACTTGCCCTCCGAGGATCTTATCCCTGCGGCTGACACCTGTTTTCATCTTTTATTTCTGCCAATTTACTCAACAAAACAAAAACTGAAAGAGAAGCTTCTTCAAGCGATCAGCCACAATCGTGGCTTTGGCAGATTTGTGCCCATAGTCTGAAACAGGAACTTGAATAAGATGCTACCTTGGAAGCGGTAGCCTTCTTTTGACCTCAGATGGGAGAACAAGATTGTCACAAGGGATTTTGGTTAGATGACTGTTCAGCGATTTTCTTGCTGTATTTATTTAGAAATAAAGTGACAGTCTAAATATATAGTACTTTGAAAGTATGCTGTTTTGTCTACCATGTAGTTAGATTGAGGTAATATGTTACACACACACACACACACACACACCCATCTATCCATCCAGATAGATACTGAATTGATTCAAACCTGACTACAGATAATTACCTTCTGACATCTTGAATACTGATGGGATATTGAAGTAAAAAGTTAAAATTTGATTGAAAATGTCCATCTTGTCATTCAGATTATAAGATGTTGGACAAATTGTTGCTGAATTTCTGTTAATATGGTGGGATCTGGGAGTGAGTTGAGGGGAGGAGCGAAAAAACTGTCTAGTTTTGAGTTGCTTGTTAGAAGGAAGCAGCTGAGAAGAGATCATCCCCCAAAGTTCAGTGTTTGTATAGTAGATAGTGCATTTATAACCCCATTTATTTGTACCTATTTCCTGTATTCATACTCATGTTTATTCTTATACCTATTATCTTGCAAGTGATTGATAAATCAAACAAACAAACAAATAAATAGATAGATACATAAATTTGTCTGATGAGATACCTGTCTTTAGGTGAGCAGCAATAAACATGTAATTCTGATCAGCCCTGTGTGTTGTTTCTGGTTTCTTTGCCTGACCGTCAGTCCTTCAAGATCAGACTAGGAATCTGGTATGAGCCATGGTGCCGCAGTGGTTAGAATGCAATAGTGTAGGATACTTCTGGAATTCAGCAGTTCGGCAGTTCAATTCTTACCAGCTCAAGCTTGACTCTGCCTTCCATCCTTCCAAAGTCAGTAAAAATGCGGACCCAGATTGTTGGGAGCAATATACTTGCTGGCTCTGTAAACCGCTTAGAGTGGGCTGTAAAGCACTGAAGTGGTATATAAGTCTAAGTGCTACTGCTATTGCACCTTCAGATGTGTGAGAGAAGGCATACTACACAACCGCTTATCTGCACCAGTTTCGTTTCAAGTTCTGCAATCACACCCCATTTCTTAAGATCTAAATCTCCAATACTACGGGTCTGCCATTCACATGGGGTTGCCCCAAATTGTTCCAGGTGACAAAACTACCACATTTCCTGATTCTTAAAAAGAAAAATATAAAATAACAGCTACCATCATGCATGTTATGATGCATGATGCAATTCACATCATTTTACTTGAAGAATTCTGGCCGCCTTTGCAAATCATCCCATTTCTACAACTTCAGAAGACATCTCTTTAAAATTGGAGGGGGGGAGGGGGGAATTAAACCCAAGTGACATATTTTGCAGTTACCTTTCCTTCTCATCCTTCCATTCAGTTTCTTGGCTTGTGCTTACAGCTATTGATTTCATGTATGTCAGTACTATTTTATTACAAATCTAGCGAAACACAATCTTGCAAGCCTGAATGTGCTTCCCCCATCTTCCTTTTACTTTTGTGAAAACTAGGCTTGTCTGAGATTACATTCCTGCCCTGAATGCAGCTTGCTTTTATCTGACCACTGTCTTTTGATAGCCACTCTTCCTTCCTCAAGCCATTCCCTCTGCCCTCCACAATTCCACACGATTCCGCAATTGATGGCAGAAGAATTTGAGAAGAAATTATAGAATGGCATGGAAAAGGAAAGGAAACGAATGATATGTGATTTAGTCAGACTTGGAAGAGATGTGTAGCCAAGAAGTAGGTTGTGAAAGGACAGAGTGGAAAAGATAAAGATTCTTCTTCTACAAGCCTTTTTTTTTTTTTACTGTAGTGTTTGATGTTGATGGAGGCAATAGAATTTTGTGAAGTTGTGGGCATTCCTGAGGCTGGGTTGCTGATGTTTTTTACCAGGCAGCAATCACTGTTTTTGCAGAGCTGTTTTTGCTTTTCTGGGGGATGCTGGAGGAGATGAACTCAGAAAGAGGTTATCCCCTATAGTTGGAGGCCAATATATGTGGGAGGTTGGAAAGAATTGTGGCCCCTTTGCTCAGTGGCTTCAGCCACTGATACCTAAAGAGCCATCACTGTAGACTTGGGTTCCAAACTTAGATCTAGAAATACACACATGATTACTCAGTGGATGACATTGGTAAGTAAGCAAAAAAAAAAGTCTTTGGTGCAAAAGCCCTTGGGATGCTGGGGAGAGGATGCAGAACCCCATCACTCACCTGTCTGATTCCACTATGTTCTGATGGAAGAAGTCTTACAAAAAAATTGGAACTTCGATGTTACCTATGCTGACAGCAGCAGGAATACTCTACACACAAAAATGGAAGGATCGTTTGATTGCCACAATGGATGAATTGATGCAAAAGTTGACGGAGCTAGCAGAGATGACCACATTGAGTGCTTTAATTAAAGAATACAATTCATTTTGCTTCTATGTGGATACTATTTTTGCACTTTGTGCTTGAGGTGGGGGGAAAAATGAAACTTTGATTCAGGGTTTTTGCTGATAAGATAGACAGGCTTGTTGCTAATAGAAATGGCTAGTATTATGTAAAAAGGGAAAAATGAGGTTGTAGGTTATTATCTTATTCTACTGCACCAAAGGGTTGGAAGGACGATTATAATGCGAGTGAGGGAGGGTCTGAGGGAAGTCCTGCCTTGGACATCACAGGTGCCCCCCCGCCCCCCCCCGTGAGTGACCTCGAGATGGCCACGCTCCCCCACCCTGCCCCCACCAGGTCAAACACAACCCTGATGAAATCAAGTTCGATACCCCTCTCTAAAAGGATGCAAATCAGAGGTGGTATTGAGCAGGTTCTGACCAGTTCTGGAGAACCGGTAGCGGAAATTTTGAGTAGTTCAGACCCAAATCCCACCTCTGACTGGCCCTGCCTCCCAAGTCCCAGCTGATCGGCTGGGTCTTCTTTTGTTGCTCTGCACAGGAGAATGGAGCTGGAAAGCAGGTTAGTGGGGTGGGGAGGGAATGGGGATTTTGCAGTATATCCTTTCCCTGTCATGCCCACCAAAGCCACACCACGCCCATAGAACTGGTAGTAAAAAAAAGTTGAATCCCACCATTGCAAATGGCCAGTTGTCTGCAAAGAATATCAGTCCTTCCATTCCCCACTATCCTGTCCGAGCTGAAGAAGCTTCTTAAGTGAGAAGCGAAACGTCTTCCAAAGAAAAACAAACAAAAAAGCAAAAACAAGACACTTCAGTTGCCTCCTGAAACAAACAATCAAAAAAAGCACCTTTGGTGCCCGCAGTCATGAAACGAAAACGAAACTCTGCGGCCGAAAGCTGAGGGAGCCGCGGCTGGGTCCTGCGTTCAAAGCGCCAACATCTCCGCGATGAAGCCGCCGCTGCTTTGGAGAGGCTTCCAAAAGAAGCGACCCTCCTGTCAGGGGGTGGGTGCGTGGGGTTTAACCACCACCCTTATTCTCCGGGCCGCCGCCTCCATCCTATCACCGAAAAGGCAAATTCCCTGCCCGGACCGCGCCGCAGTTTCGCTTTCCTCGCAAAGCCCGCCTTCTCTTGACGTTTGGAAAGCGCAGCCACCTCAAAAGCAGCCCGGAGAAGACAAAAACGCGCGTCGTCCGGGAGAAGTTGCCCGTTTTTTGTTTTCCTGAGGCGATCAGAGGCGAAGCTCCCTCCACTCATGCCGGGCGCACGGAAGAAACCCCGCGGCGGAGCCCCCAGCTCCCCCTCAGGCTCGGTGTCGCGACCCCCGCGCCGCCCCCGGAGGCCTGAGGAGCAAGTGCCCCAAAAGACGCGCGAGCGGCGATCCCAAGAGAGCGGTCGGTTGGCTTCTCCCGCGGGCTCTTCCCCGCCACTCGGGCCCCTGTTGCTCTTTTTCCCAACGGCGGGGGACCACCGCACTATCTTCAAAGTGGGCCCTGGAGCCATTTGCCAGATCAGCTGCAAGCAAGCTTACCTCGCCGTGGCGCAGACACCGAAAACAGTGCACCTTTTCGTCCGGGCGCAAGACAAACCGCATCAGCCCCTGGTGGAAAGTCGCGGTGAGTAGCCGTAATCAAAAAGCCTCCAAATCCGGACGGCCGCCAGATGGCAGCTCCCCGCCCCCCCACCAAAAAAAAAAAAACCCACAACTTTGATGTTAGAATATAGAATAAGCTGGAAGGGATCTTGGAGGTCATCCAGTCCAGCCCCCTCCCCAATTTAGATAAACGACTGCGTAGACTCTTCTTAAAAAACCTCCAGTGATGGAGCACCCACGCTTTCTGGTGGCAAGCTGTTCCACTGGTGAATTGTCCTCCCTGTTAGGAAGCTTCTCCTTAATTCCAGGTTGCTTCTCTCTTTGATAAATTTCTGGCCATTTTTTTTTTTTCTTGTCTTCCAATCTTTGAGGGGCTGCCACAAAGAAGGGAGGGGGTGAACCTGTTCTTTAAAGCACCTGCAGGCAGGACAAGAAACCATGGGTGGAAAATGATGAAAGAGAGAAGCAATCTGGAACTAAGGAGAAATTTCCTGTCAGTTTGACCAATTTCATCAGTGGAATGGCTTGTTTCCAGAAGTTGTGGATCCTCAAGAAGAGATTGGACAGCCATTTGTTTGAAGTGGTTATAGGGTTTCCTGCCTGAGCAAGCGGGTTGGACTTCTGTTAGAATCAAAGTCCTGCCTTCCAGTGCTTTGTGGCAGCCCCTCAAACACTAGAATACTGCTATCACTTCAGCACTAATTCTTCTTTTCTTTAGTGTACTGTGTATGTGTATTGTATATCTTTGGTGTGCCCTCTGGTGATCGACCAGTGAGTGAGGTAGTGAGAGTAACTCAGTCAGCTTTGTGAATGAGGGAGGATTTGGACCTGGGTCTTTCAATGCTGTTAACCCAGGAATCTCCTAGTCCAACACTTAATCCAGGGATCTCCAAAGTTGACAACTTTAAGACTTGTGGACTTCAACTCCCAGAATTCCTCAGCCGGCATGGCTGGTTTGTGGAATTCTGGGAGGTGAAGTCCACAACTCTTAAAAAGTCACCAAGCTTGGCAGCCCCTTTTCTAACCATTCCAGACTGTTTGCACTCTTCTACTTTGTTAAAAAGGACAAGTCCTACTAAAACAAATTGCAAGTTTATTAGTATATTAGCTCAATACCTGTGCTTTGCTACAAAACAATGTGGTTGGGCTTTTGGGAAGGAAAATAAGGGGGGGGAATTCTGCCTCTGCCTACCAGCATCCATCAATATTCATCTGGCTAGCGTCCTCTCAGTGTATGAGAAAATTGAGGGCTGTTTGGAAACTCAAACAGTATTTTCTGTGTGAGCAAGAAGGAGATAGCAAGGAACCTGGGTGTGGCTTAGATCAGCTGTTCTGTACTAGAGCTGCTTGGTGCTGTGAAATTAAAACTGAAATTCCTCTGCTTGTGTTTTCCTCTGCTTGCATTTGGGACAGATTCCTTTTGAGATGGGGAGGGGGAGTAGAACTCTTTAGCATCAGAGTGTGTTAATAATAATATAGGAAATACTAATGCTCTGATAGTCATTTTGAAAAATCCTTTCTTAGCAAGCATCTAGAAGCCAAGAGGAACATATGTAGCAAATTTCAAGCTTGTAGGCTTTATGGTTCTGGAGATTTTGTGATGATGCATGACTGATATTTCGCTTTTATATATAAGTTGGTAAGAGATGAGGCTTTTTCAGTTTGGCACCTTGGCTGAATA